CTCCGGCTCCGGCTCCGGCTGCGGCTCCGCGGGCTGCTTTAGGCCGCCGGAACCGGCTCCGATTGCAAACTGCCCCCTCCCACGCCCGCCAGCCTCTCTCTTTTCTTCGCAGACTCCTCGGGAGTCAGGGAGGTTAGACCGCAGGACAGGCGCTACCAATCGCGTCTGGTCTGTGGCCCGCGCCCCACTTCGCGTTCCCGCGGCACCCCTACTTCTCACTATTCCTACCTAGGCCAGACGGCCCTTTCACCCTCTTGCAAGAGTTTCCGTGTCCTTCGGAACCCGCAGGGACTCCTCCTGCCTCCCTTTTTGGGGCGAGGGTGGAGGAGCCCAGGGTCACAACCAGGCCAGAGGGCCAGGTGAGACCGCGGAACCGGCGAGCCTTTTCCCAGACTGTCCTGAGTTAAAGGTGAGCAGCGCTGTTTGGGTGGCGGTTCTGGTAGCTACAGTCGGTATCCTCCGCAGAACCCCCTCCCAACCGTCCAAGCCCCTCCCTCCACCACAGATCCTCTCTGCTGTCTGGAGACGAGTTCACCCTTGGAAACCTGCCGCAGGCACGCCACCGCGCCCTCCCACCCACCTTCCTAACCTGCCTCCCGGCGTGGGCTTCGGAGCGATCACGCACACCTTGAGGTAGCATGCGACATGCTGAATGTCTATTTGTTTTTCCAGGGACAGGGTGGCTGCCTTTCCTCAATATCGTTTTTCATAGTGGCATGGTGGCTTCAGCAGCTCCACCACTTATTACTGTATGACTTTGAGCAAGTTACACAGTCTTCCAGAAAAGCCTCTGCTCCTCTTCTGTACAATGGGAACGTAATGATATTTACCTTAGAAGATACGGGGCTTCGGCTCTGGGCTCCTGATTTTAGAGGGTCTTACTCTGGCCCTCCCTGATCATGCCTCTCCTCACTGGAGAATGAGTCCATGGGACAATGGGGAGTGGCAGGGACACGCATCTCCTCCTCTTCTAGACTGTACTTCAGGACCCTGGAATTCCCTGCTCACACGACCGTGAACAGGCCTCTTCCCCAGCTCTGTCCTCCCAAGAGCAAGCCGAACCAGGTGTGCTCCCAGGGCCTGGGAGGTGACTAAGGGACATCTGTTTGCAGGCAATAGGTGATGGATGGAACTTGACAGGCAGGCAGAACATTACCAGGCATGCCCCTGTCACTGCAGCACCAGAGAGTAAACCAGGGAACCGTCTCAAAATTCCAGTTTGGACCTGGTCTTCCAGGTCATCATGAAGGAAAATTAATCAAAGGCAGAGGATAAAAGATTACTTTTAACATGTTGTTTTCCTGATTTATAACTTTTACTTAGACATGTATGTAATTCTATTTGTACCCTTGCCCCAGGACTCGCAAACATCACAAGTGGACCTGGTTGTGAAGACCAAATGAGGATTAGTGCATGTACCAGTGCCAGCCCAGCAGAGTGCTAGGCAAAGAATAAACACTCAGTACATTGGCACTCAAAGATGTCTGTGGCCCAACAAGGCTGAGCCTTGCCCCTGTCCCCAGGTTTGCAGGCTTACCCTCTCCTTCCCTGAGAAGGTCCCTACACTCAGTTAACAGGGCAAGGCATCCACACTGCCAACTTCATTTTTATAGCGGAGGTCATGTTTCTCAGAGCAGTAAGCTGAGGGGAGAGGGGAGGGGAGCCAAAGGAAAGGAAAGTGACCCCTGCCCAGGCAAGGGGGAGGAAGGGAGGCCACTCCATGGATATCTTTAGATCCTGGTTACAGGAAAAGGTTGCCAGTTTACCTGGTGCCCTCTCCCCGGCCTTCCCTGCTGCTTAACTGCTCAGATTCTTAGAGCTGGTCCTTAGGAGTGTCCTTAGTTAACCCCTATGCCCCACAGATGAAGATACAGGCCCAGAGAGGTAGAACGTGTGGCGTGTGGCCCAAGGTCACCTAGAAAGGTACTATTAAAGGGCCGGCCTGTGGCTCACTCGGGAGAGTGCGGTGCTGATAACACCAAGGCCACGGGTTCAGATCCCATATAGGGATGGCCGGTTTGCTCACTGGGTGAGCGTGGTGCTGACAACACCAAGTCAAGGGTTAAGATCCCCTTACTGGTCATCTTTTATAAAAAAAAAAAAAAAAGAAAGGTACTATTAAAGCTGGGTCCTCCCCTGTTATTGGATTTCCCCCATTCCACACCCCCAGCTTTCCTCTAAAGAACACCAGGAGGGATCCGCAGCTGGGCAGAAAAAGTGCTTGGAAAATGCATTCACGGCTAGAGGGTTTTTACATTTATAGACCACTTTCCTCAAAAATTCTCGGAAACCTAGTCCATTGATCTAGCTTAGAGGCTCCTCCTGAGGATGCCGGGGGGAGAGGGCAACAGAAGGTCAGAGTTCCCTCACTCCTACCTTCTGAAAACTATCTCTTTGAGGGGCCCTCCCTGATTTAGCTCCTTTTCACCCAGCTCAAGAGCCCCCAGTTGCTGGGTGGGGTGGGAAGAAATGGACAGCACCTTGGCCCCTTCTGCTCCTCTGCTGGAAGTCCCTTGAGGGAGGGCAGGGCTGGTGTCTTGGGACAGGCCTGATTCCTGAGAATGGGGTGATGCATACTCAGGTCTTGGGTGACCTGGCTCAGAAATACTTGAAGAGCAAGTTTTCAGGATGCAGAGACGGATTGGGCCCTGTGCCAAGGAGCAGTCAGAGAACTGTCCAGTCTCAGGCTAGAGGAGACAGGGCCTAGATTTAAGAGGAAGGAGATTATTTCCTCGGGGATTCATGTAGGGTTCTTTAAAGCAGTTAGCTCAACAGTTATCTCAGATCAGACTCAGTTGACCTCCCCCACCCTCAGTCTCCTCCCATGCCTGCCTAGGGAGCTGGATTGGAGCTAGGAAGCGGGTCCCTGTTTTCCAGGAGGGGCCAGCCTAGAGAGGAGTCAGTGTGTGGCGGGGGGACAGAGCTCCAGCTGCCTGCCTCCGGAGCTGCTCTGACACTGGAAGGCACTCACCCCTGGAGCAGAATCACCTTCTACAGATGACCAGCACGGTAGACGGAAGGCGCCCCGCCACTGTCAGTTCTCAAAAAGCCGGCCAAGGCTCCGTGCAGGGGAGGAAGGGAAAGGGAGAGCTCCGATGAGGTCTCCGGAGCTATTTTGAGAGGAGTTCCTCCTAAGTAGCAAGAGCCTGGCAGGGAGCCGCCTCCTCCTCTGGCTCCCTTATTGCCCTTGCCTGCCCTCCTCCTCCCCCATAAATCCTCACGCGCCCCTTTCGGGGCATTGCAGGTAATGGAGGGAGCTCAGTGGCAGTGCTGACTGGGCTCCTAGAGCTCCGCAGGGACCATCCCCCCATCCCCACCTCACAGCTCTTCTTCAGGCTTCGGACCAACACCAAGAGCTGCATCTGCTCTTCACCTTCCCTGAGCCCTGTGGTTGTAAACAGAGCCCCAATGTCAGGAACTGCAGGCATAAGACTGCATGCAGAAAGTTAAATGCCCGCAAATCCTTCTGCCGCTCGCTCGGGTAGGGGTTGGGTGGACGCTTCCTACACAAACTTTTGGGAGCCTCCATCTAGTGCACCGAGGTCTGTTCTCAGCCCCTCCCGACTCACCACCGCTCCTTCCAGCTCAGAGTGCCCGCTTGCCCCTAGCTGTAGTCTCAGATCCATTGAAGATTGGCAGGTGCTGAGGGGGTTAACAGGAGAGAATGCACCAAGCCATCCTGCAGGCACGTGGCTTAGCAGTCCAGCAGGGAACGCAGCACCTGCCACCTCGGGCGGCTGACTCCCCAAAGCCCACCTCCACCTCGCACTGGCGAGTT